TTTTAATAAACCAAAATACAGTTTCAAAGAAAATTAATTCAGATACAAAACTTTAAATTCAGTTTCAATTTAGAAAAATTCATTTCCAAACCAATGCATTCAATTTCAAATTATACACATCCAGATTCAATCTGAACAATTCAAATTCACTTCCTGCTGGCACAAGATTGATCCCATATATGGAGGTAAGGCAGAAGGTCAGAACCTGGTCTGATCCTGGTGTTCTGAAGGTTCCTCTGATCCTGCAGGAAGCTCTGCAGGTTGCACAGAGCTAGCTGCTAATTGTGCTCATAATGAAACTGTAACATGTAAGGTTTCAGTGAAATCTGAAATGAAATGTGACGCAGCTGCACAACAGAATCGCTCTGACACAATCAGGCTAACTTGAACCAGGATTAACTAATCCCAACCCTCAACTGAACAGGTGTAATCCTGAGTGTCGGGGCTCAGATCTGTGGAGTCGGGGTGTTTCTGTGTTTGCAGGTTGTTACCAGCAGTAAAGCCTGCTCCTGCAGGAGCTGCTGCTGCAGGATCTCCAGCTGCCTCTGCTCCTCCTCCAGCTGCCTACGGATATACTCCTAACCAATCAGAGCCCGGGCCCAGCGCCAGACGCAGCCAATCCCAGAGCAACCGGGCGGAACGGAAGCGAATGGAAGCCCCAGGCAACCAGTGACATCAGCAGAGCAGGAAATAAGAAGGAGGGCAGACAGAAGGAGGTTCATAGAGGAGGTGTTAGAGCAGAGACTCCATCAGAAACAGAAGAAATGARACAAAAAGCATCAGCGGGGGGCGGGGGGGGGGGGGGGGTATTAGTACAACTGAAAGATGAGCAGATTAATCCACAGTCAGCTGTGAGGAAGGAAGATATTTATATCTGAAAGGGGGAGCATTAATGAAGCGTTTCACTGCAGGAAAATGTTATTTTCGTGCATAATGTAAAAAAGTTACTGCACATTTATAAACCCAACACCAGCAGGAAACATCCGCAGGAAAGTTTCTAAAGGGTTTTAGTATCTTTAGTCATATTCTCTTCAAAGTTAAAACATAAAACAAATCTAAGAGAGTCAAMCAAAGTAAACTTTAAAGTATATATAGGTAGGTAAGACTCTTCTGGTCTCAAGTGATCAAAACCTACTTTAAGAAAATCCTTCTATTTGAAAGTAAATTGTGGTGAAATGCTGGTGGGTCCAAGACATTTACACAGTACTCCCCTGCAGAAACATGAATTCTTAATGTTTTCAGATGTTCTAAGTTCTCCTGTCATGTTTTCATGTGATGTTATCAAAGATGCAGCATCAGTGAGTGTTAATGAGACAATAAGCCCTGCCCCTTTTTGGGACTTCCCAAATTCTGTGGGATTTGTCAGTTGGGTGGTTTTCCTACCTGCTCTCTCTCTGCGTGCCTTCGCTCCTCCTCCCGGCGGAGCTGCTCCATCTCCTCGTACCTCCTCCTCTGCTCCCGCTCCTGCTGCTTCCTCAGCTCCCGCTCCCGTCGTTGTTGCTGTGAAGAGATTAACCAATCAGAGCCTCGGCTGTGTTTTTGTGGTGGTACCAACACAGATGGGTTTTAGGTTAAAGTAGCTACAAGTTCACACATTATGCTTTTCATCCTGATCTTTCCAACCAAAACACTTCAACCCACCTCCTCCAGCCGCCGCCGCTGCTCCTTCTGCTCCTCGATCCGTTTCTGCCTCTCGGCCAGCAGTTGGCGCTTGTGCTCCTCGTTCTGCTGCTGCTCCAGCTGCTGGCGCCGGATCAGCTCCGAGCGCTCCTTATTGGCCAGCTGGAGGCGCAGGAAGTCCCGCCTCAGAGTGGACTCCCCGGGGATGTTGATGATGGAGCTGGAAGACAGTAAGAGTCAGCTGTCTGTCCGGACACGTTTGTTTTATATTAAATTCATTGCAGACGTTAAAGTGCCCGTGACATCAAATTTTTATAATAAACATTAACGCATTTTTGGAAAGATAACATTGATAACATGTTGCAAAACAAATTTCACATCACTGAGATGAACAGTTGTTGAGATATTGACATGTGAAGTAACAGGAAGTGATGTCAAAGGGGAATGTCTGCATGTAAACTTATAAAAGCTAACAACACAGACTGTAGAGAAGAATCTGATGATTCTTTAGATTATTTTTGGTCGCTATCAAAAAGAGACGAAGAGTTAAAGTTTAAATAATTTTGTTTTAATAAACCGGGATCAGCAAATTAATTTTATTATTGAGTTCCCCTTTGATGTCACTTCCTGTTTCACTTTGGCTGAGCCAAATTCAAAAGAAAATAGGCCAGATATGAGACAAAATGTGTAAAATTACGTGTACTACGCCAATTTTCTTAAGTATAAAGATGTTTTCTTTGACTTTTTGTATTTGAAGCACAGGCGTGTCACAGGCTTTTTAAAGGGTTGGATTTAAACAGCTGACTGAGGTAAACAACAGAAACCAGCTGAGGTCCCTCAATGAGTCTGATCCTGGTACCGGATCCTGGTGCCTGATCATTCATCTTTCCTACCTGGGCTCTCCGACGTCCCTCTCTTCGTCCTCTTCCTCGCTGCCGCTGTACTCGTACTCGGTCTCATCTGAAACAAGCAGATCTCAGGTCAGACCTTCAGACGGGTTCAAACAGCTGACAGGTGAGTCAGTGGGGGGGTTGGGCCTCACCCCTCTCCCCCCTCCTCTTCTTGGTGCGGTCGATGTGGTCCTTCAGCTGGATCCGGACCTGCCGCTCGTTGGTGAGGTCTCTGATGAAGGGGTGTTTGAGGAGCTGCTCGGTGCTCGGCCGCTGGCTGTGGCTCTTCACCAGACAGCTTTCTATGAACGACTGGAACTTCTTCGACCTGACAGCACAAAAACACACAAATAAACACACAAACAAACACACAAATAAATGAGTTCAGAGGGTTTAAATCATGGACTCATTCTTTTCACAAAAACTATGTTTGGATTAAAAAAGGATTTATTCCAATAAAATACAAACTGCTGCAGTTTTTGCAGCTAAAATAGAACATTTAATTTCAGTTTCGTGACATTTATCTGTGTTTCTACCAGGTGTTAACTGTGATTAGGACACTCACCACTTCTTAGATTTGAGTCTCGGGGCAGGATTCCTGGGGATGAGGAAGAGCGCTCTCATTGGATGCATGTCACACAGAGCTGAGGAGGTGAGGAAGAAGAGGAACACATGTGAGGAAGATTAATGAGAGGAGAGGAGAGGAGAGGAAAGGAGAGGAGAGGAGAGGAAAGGAAAGGAAAGGGAAGGAAAGGAAAGGAAAGGGAAGGAAAGGAAAGGAAAGGGAAGGAAAGGAAAGGAAAGGACAGGAACAGGAAGTGAAATGAGAGGAAAGGAGAGCGTGTTTTATCATCTAGCTGAAGACAAACTGTGCAGTTTGTCAGCTGATCACGGTGTTAATCACACTTACGTGGCGCTCCCTCTGCCATCTCGATGGCTGTGATGCCGAGCGACCACAGATCACTCTGCAGACACACAAACACACAACGCTCACATCCGACTCAACACTTCCAGCTCCTGTAGGACTCGTCCAACGGTCCGTGTTCCCGTCAAGTGTTAAAAATACAGACAGAGAAACTACCCATCTGCCACTGCTGCTGCAGATTCCTGCCTGCAACATTTTACCACAGAGATTCTCTTGGTTTTAGCAAATAAGTGCTGAAAGACGAACGGAGGCTCTTCCTGACACATTAAGCCCCGGAGGGCTGGAGTTAATGGTGCAGGCGCTCGTCCTCCACCAGCTCGCCGCAGGGGCTCGTTCTGTCCCCATTACTGCACATCCTTCAAGCAGAAACCTCTGCAGAGTCTCATTTTTCCTTTGTGTTGTCGAGTGGTGAGGATCAGGGATTACAAATATAAAAACAACAGACGGGATCATTGAGAGATTTCCTCTAAAGGTCAGACTGTTTGTTCACAGTTTCCAGCAGTTTGACTCCATGATCGATGAGATATTGAACTTTTTGAGCTCCAAACAGGCAGGAAAAGAAAGAAAACAACAAAAAATCATTTATTTTTTATGTTGGACTGACTTTCTGTTCTGGATCTATCCCACGTTTGGAAGGTTTAACATCCTCAAAGAGCCAGAAACCAATTATCTGTCCACTCTGTCCTCTCTCAGGTATGTTTTCTGGTTATAAACAGCATCAACTGGGTTTCTTTTGCTCTCTGCTCTGCTTGAACATTCTCTGTAAGGACTGAAGGTTTACTGAGAAACTTTCAAAATAAAAGTTTTAATGAAGTTAAAGCAGATGTAGCACAGGATGTGACTTTAGACTGAAAAATCAACAGAACAAAGCAACATAAAAAACTCTAATATCTTCATTTATCATTAAATCCTAAACCAGTGCTCACAACCAAACTTTCTAAGTTTAGTCCAGATCCCAGTATTTTCGGGTCTTTCTAGAATATTTGTCCCAACATAATGTGACATTTATCCCAACTATAAACCAACAAACTGTCTAAAACTTGACTAACTTAAACCAGCAGGATACCATCTAAGACTGGTCTAAAACTAGTTTTTCAGTTTCTTACAGATGTTCAAAGATTTTAGTSTCAACGTTATCCAACATTTATCTAAACTAGACAAAAATAACAAACTGTTGGTCCAAAACCAGTCTAAAATCTGCCTGAAACCAACCTGAAGTTAGTTTGGATCTCATTTCCTGTTTATTGTTTTAGTATTTCAGTTTAATATTTGTTCAAACTAAAACACAGTCCAACCTGAACCCAACTGGTGGTCAGAATCAGTCCAATGGCAAATTTAAAACACTCAAAACTAGTCTAGAACCAATAAAAGATTTGTTTTAACCAGTCTATAGCTGGTCCAGGTCACAGTAGCTCATGATGGTTCAAGGATTTCAATCACAACCCAACATGACATCAACCTAAACTAAAACTAAACAAACTGATGTAGAAAAAAACCTTCCAAATGAGTCTGAAACTGACTGTTAAGATCCCTCAACATCTTTCCAGGGTTCAGCCATAATGAGACACAATGAGACACAATGAGACAAACTATTTGAGGTCAGTCTAAAACCTTCAAAACAAGACCAAAGTCAAGTTTGGCTGATGGTTCAAACATCCTGCAGAAACTCAAAGGTTGTTTGATCACGAGGCAACATAAAAGGGATTTAAAATCTGTTCAAAGCTTTTCTTTTTGTGAAAGAAACTAGAAGTTAAACTCAAGCTAAAGTAGCAACCCAACAGTGTCCTCTCACAGATGAATACACAAGGTCTACCTTGAAGTCGTACGTGGCGTCTGGGTTCTCGTCGCAGGCGATGACCTCGGGGGCCATCCAGTATGGCGTCCCGATGAACGTGTTCCTCCGGCCCACCGTCCGGTCCAACTGAGCGCTCACACCGAAGTCCACTGCAGACACACAGAAGATGCCGCCATTTTACAGCTGCTCTCTCTTTTTAATCAAGTCTCTCCTTTCGGGCTGAAACGGTCCTAAACAGATGTTCTCTCACCCAGTTTGACCTCTGCGTTCTCCGTCAGCAGAACGTTCTGGCCCTTGATGTCTCTGTGGATCACCTTGTGCTGGTGGAGATGGGTCAGACCCTGAAAAAGCAGAAAGAGTCCTTTTTAGGAAAACAACGGACCTACACTTAGTTCCTCAGGGAACCTGTTTCAGGCTCCTCCAATTTATGATCACGTTTCAGGATTTACAGTAAAATAATCTGTGTTTTGGTTCTGCTCTTTTCTAAAACATTTTAGAAAAACAACAGACCTACATGGAGTTCCTCAGGGAACCTGTTTCAGGCTTCTCCAGTTTATGATAATGTTTCAKGATTTACAGTAAAATATTCTGTTTCAGTTCTGTTCTGTTCTAAAAAATTTTAGRAAAAAAACGGACCCACATGGAGTTCCTCAGGGAACCTGTTTCAGGCTCCTCCAGTTTATGATCACGTTTCAGGATTTACAGTAAAATAATCTGTGTTTTGGTTCTGCTCTTTTCTAAAACATTTTAGAAAAACAACAGACCTACATGGAGTTCTTCAGGGAACCTGTTTCAGGCTTCTCCAGTTTATGATAATGTTTCAGGATTTACAGTAACATAATCTGTTTCAGTTCAGTTCTGTTCCAAAACGTTTTACATAAACAACAGACCTACATGGAGTTCCTCAGGGAACCTTTTTTGGGCTCCTCCAGTTTATGAAAATGTTTCAGGATTTACAGGAAAATATTCTGTGTTTTGGTTCTGTTCTCACCCTCAGGATCTCCCTGCAGATGTAGGCGATCCACTCCTCCTTCAGAGAGTTCCCCTTGGTGTTTTTGATCAGATCTGTTACCGAGCCGGCTCCGCAGAACTCCATCACCAGCTGCACCCACAAACAACACCCCCCAGAGTCATTTATCATTCTGCTTGGACGTGACTTTGGATACATTTGTTTCAGTTTTGCGGATACAACGCACCCATAGCTGGTCGTCCATTCCTGGAGGGTTTTTCTTGATGAAGGCGCCGTAGTAAGTGGCGATGTTCCGATGGTGGCTGTACTTCTTCAGCATGTTGATCTCAGCTTTAATCTCCTCTTCTTCCTCCTGCAGAGACACACACACACACACACCGAGATAAAGACGAGGTAGAAAGTTTTTCTGCAACGTGTCATAAATAAAAGGTTGTGAGTGTGACATGTACCCCGGTGACATCCATGACCTTGATGGCAGCCAGTTGGCCTGTTTTGACATGGCGACCCTAAAAACAGACAGAAGATGATGAGTCAGCGTTTTATTTTTCTTTATCGGCATCTGAGAGGATGTCCTGGCTGTCTCCAGTCAGGGAGACAAACTAAGTCTTCCCTCCATCAGCTGTAAGCTTTCAGGACAAAATGCATTCTAGATTTTTATCAGCAATAAAATATTCCGCAGTAAAGCTGGGAAGAAAAAGTGTTTTCAACAACATTTGTTCCTAAAATTCGTATAGGTATTTAATAAAAAGTCATTTTTAATGCATCTGCAGCTGCTTCTCTGAACTCTAGAGAGGAAATTCTCAGGGGACAAGTTTCCATGAGCTCTGTCGATACTGTGATCACCTGAAGCAGCTAATTGTTCCAAGAATTAAACCATCCTCAGCAGAAATGTTGCTTTACRTTATTTATGTTTCTGCTTCTGGTTTTACATCATTTTCTTAAAATGTTATAAAGATTGTCTTTGTTTAGTGCAGCCTAACATTGTTTAAACACGAAAAGATGGTTTTTGTTTGATGTTTTGTGCAGTGTTGTATAAAGTACCACACAGTGATAGTTGAGTAAAAGTACAAGTATCTTACCAAAAAATTACTTAAAGTCTACTTTAGGAATATTACTTGAGGAAAAGTCTTAAAGTATCAGATTTTTTTAACTTAAGTATTAAAAGTATTGATTTAAAATGAGCAGATAGATTTTACATAATGACATTTATTAGTAGGTGACCTCTCCAAAAACTGCAGAAATGAATATATAT